TTTGTAAAGTTCTTAAGTGACATTAAAAAACCGGCAAGTGTCAAGAATTCCGTTGACAAACGTTCGAGAAGAACTCCGATGAATGATGGATGGCCCTCTCCGGCGATATTCGAACTTAACTTTTTTCCGACGAACTCCAAAGAATGTGGTCGGTTTCTGTGTACTTATTGAAGAGTCCGAACTTGCCTTTTATTTATTATTTTTTTCTTAAAATCTTATTCTTCATATTTTGTTGAGGAATCAATTGTGAATATTGTTATTCATATTCACCCTAAAACAAATAAGGTGTCAATAATTAATGGTTGTTGTTAATATCTATCAACCATTTATAGTTATGTCAATTCCTCGTAAATGCTCATTGGAACACAGGTGCATGCATATGGTACATGTTTTTAAGTAAATAGTACCTCTGTTGTCAATGTTGAACACTAGTTTGTGCAAGAAACTTTGAAGTTTCACTTTATCCAACTCATTTTAAATTTCATACTATTGTTAGATATAATGGAAAAGCCACAAATTCAGTTATTAGAGAGTTATTACCAAAAAAACCAGCAATCTCAAAAAATTATATGACACCTAATAAGTAGACCCAGTCTAAAAAAAATTATTCTCCAATGCAAATAAAAGTAGACTGGTCCTGCTTATGTGGCAGCCAGAAAAAGAGACCCGGTCTACCCTTAAGTCTATTTTAGACCCAAGCAGAGACCTAGTCTCTTTGCATTAGAATGAGTTTTGTTAATTTTACATAGTTTTATCCATGTCATTCAAAACTTGGGTTTATTTACGTGTCACATATGTAAGACTAGACTCAATGCATTGTAGATGCGGTAAAGGAGCCAAATGTTGGCTAGTAAATAGTACTACAATAATGAATTGTTCGTCTTTTTAATGTCAGATTGAGTCTTGAAGAGATGTACACACTTGTCATAAATTGTGTGAAAAGTGTGTAGATTCGTGTACTAGTGTCGCCGGTCTTGTCCAGCCCATATATGTCCTAATTGGCCCAATTATCACATCTTTTCAACAAAGCCCAAATTGTCAATTTCCAATTGGCCCAACTCCCTTCTCTGTTATTTTTTTCTCATCTCTCTCATCCTTCCTTTTTCCTCCATTTTCCATTTTCCTTTCTCCAGCATCTCACAATTCAACTTCTCGATTTTTCTGAACTATGCACTCAGACAACACGCATACACTGTCAAACAACACATATCCTTCGCCGGTCTCCGGTCCCCGGCGGCGGCCACGAACGGCCGTCCTCCCATAATCGCTTGGCAGCTACTTCACGCAGAGCCTAACCGGTAAATTTATTTATTTATAATTATATCTATTCTTTTACCTGCGCGCATTAATGGGTTCATGATTCAACGATTCATTTGTGTAGCTTGTCTATTTCTATGGTTGATATCCAGATTTGCTGCCCTTTACTCTATTGGTGTTAGTGTTCTGTATTTTGGTTCTTAAGGTTGCATTACCAGGGATTTCAAATGATGGGTTTGTTGTTCTCTTAACTTGTTAATTGTGGGGTGCCTTTTTTTTGTGTGTATTGAATTGAAAGGGAAAGAAAAAGGAGCGAGAACGAGCATTCGTTTGTTTCTACTTTTAGAATTAGTGTGTGAATTTGGTATTTCATTTGTTCTTAACATGTATTTGCTCAGATTTGCATGTAGATGGTATTGGTGGCAGTTTCATAGGGAGAGTAATAGTTCTTAAGGAGATGCAACACTTTATGTGGATATAACGAGATTCGTTTCGGGTAAAATTGCCACCTATTATTGTCCTTGGAACCAAAACCATCTTCAGTCCTGTTCCTCTGTTGCTGGTAGTTTCTGCATTTTGGTTCTTTCGGTTGCATTTGGGATTTGAAATGATGAATGTGATCTGTTGATTTGTTTATTGCGTTGTGACTGTTTAGTATGTATTGGATTGAAAGGAAAAAAAAAAAAAAGGCGAAAAAC